CGGGTTAGCCAGGGTGGTCTCGATCTCCTGACCTCGTGATCCGCCCGTCTCGGCCTCCCAAAGTGCTGGGATTACAGGTTTGAGCCACCGCGCCCGGCTCTGCTTTTTTTTTTTAATTATTATTTATTTAATTTTTTTTTGAGAAAGGGTCTCACTCTGTCACCCAGGCTGGAGTGCAGTGGTGCAATCACAGCTTACTCCTGCCTCAACCTTCCCAGAACCAAGGGATACTCCCACCTCAGCCTCTCAAGCAGCTGAGACCACAGGTATGCGCCACAATACCCAGCTAATTTTTAAAAAATTATTTGTAGAGATGGGGTCATGCTATGTTGCCAAGGCTGGTCTTAAAACCTGGGCTCAAGTGATCTGCCTGCCTTAGCCTCCCAAAGTTCTGGGATTACAGGCATGAGTCACCACACCCAACCCCCTTCCAGCCTCTTAAAAGCACCCTGCAGGCCGGGCGCGGTGGCTCATGCCTGTAATCCCAGCACTTTGGGAGGCCGAGGCAGGCAGATCACCTGAAGTCGAGAGTTTGAGAGCAGCCTGATCGACATGGAGAAACCCCGTCTCTACTAAAAATACAAAATGAGCCGGGCATGGTGGCGCATGCCTGTAATCCCAGCTACTTGGGAGGCTGAGGCAGGAGAATCACTTGAACTTGGCAGGCAGAGGTTGCGGTGAGCCGAGATCGTGCCATTGCACTCTAGCCTGGGCAACAAGAGCGAAATTCCATCTCAAAAAAAAAAAAAATGCACCCTGCAGTCTCTCCTGCTGCAGGTCCTAACACAAGCCATTCCAGTCCTTGCCTGGTAAAGCCACCATGGGGCACGCTCCCGCAGAGAGGCCCCCCAGCTCAGGGCCGCTGCCTGTTCCCTGCCTGCATCCCCAGCACTGGCCGATGAATGAGCAAATGGGCCAAAAGGACTGTGACCCAGGAGGAGTGGGGCAATGCAAGGGTTACAGGGCAGAGGTCATGGGCCCCACCCTTGCTCCCCGCTCACCAGTGAGATAGGTGTTATGCGAGGAGTTGATGAAGTAGGCACTCAGCGGCTGGGTCATGTCGGCGCTCAGATCCAGGGCTTCCAGGGGCAGGATGCCGTTCTCCTCGCCTCCCAGGTAGCGGCTAAAGCCCTCCATGGACATCTGGTCTGGGGTGGGAGGGGATCAGCAGGGTCAGCTGGGGCCCCACCTGCCCCCGCCCACCTGCACCCTGGCCAGCTCACCTCGCTCCAGAAACTGCTGGTTGGGCTCATACTTTTCGATGAGCAGTCGGGCCTGGGAGGGCCGCAGCGGCGGGTACAGCACTTCGTTGAGTCTCGGGTCGCGTTGCTTCTGGTTGATGAAGTCCATGAGCTGCTCCAGTGTCAGGTATGGCTTGCCCTTGGCACCTCTGGAGGGGGCAGGAAGCCGGGTGAGGATGGAGCCTTGCAGGGCTCCCATCCCCTCACCAAGCCCTTGCCCTGGGCAAAGGAGTCAGAAAGCCTACTCCTGGGTCTGGCACCCAGTGAGTGGGACTCTGGGTGAGTCACGGCCAACCTCTGGGCCTCAGTTTCCCTGTTCACTCTCCTGACCACTCAAGATTGTCAAGGCAACAGACAAGTGGGCACTGGCAATGGCCAGGGCTGAGGAGCTGCCAAGTGGTCAGCCCACCACCCCTTGCTTCCAGACCTCACAACACACCTGAGCCTTGGACCCCATTGCAGAGTGGGCTGATTAAACCAACCCTGGTACAGGGTTAGCCCAGAGCTACCTGTAACTGAGGGGCAGAAATAGCCGCTCTGAGCACAGGCATATCATTGACAGGTTCTCCCCGGGCACTCCCACCTGCCCCAGGCGCTCCAGGACCCGGCCCACCAGTTTCCCCTCTCCCCATTGAGCTAGAGGCGCACTAAGCAAAAGCCAAACACAGAGCACAGGGGCTGGGAGACAGGCTGGGCCCTGCTCACATCTCCAGCAGGATCTTGTCAATGTCCGGCCGCAGACACAGCTTGTTCAGGAACCGCTCAAAGATTTCCAAGGAAAACTCATCAGGCCGGATGGACTCACTCTGGAGGTCAAGGAGTGTGGGGTGAGAGGCCAGGGGCAGCCAGCCCCGGAAGGGTGGGTGCCCACCATGACACCCCACCCCGCCCCTGCCCCTACCCCACACACCCGGTTGAAATTGAGGCCACAGGATTCCAGTGCAGTCTCCACCCGCTTCTTGTCTGCTGAGAACATCTTCAGGATGCTGATGCGGGCAGGAGGGGTTGAGGGTCAGTGGAGGACAAAGGCTACCAAGGTCAGGGCAGGAGGAAGGTGCTGGGGGAAGGGGTGCTCACTTCTTGACGGGGATCCGACCATCCTGGTTCACCTGCAGCTTCAGCTTCGTGTATCTGGGGAGGCAGGTGAAGAGGTCACACCCTGAAAACGGCCACGTGAACCCCCCGGCTCCCCCTCAGGTGGCCTGGGGCTCACGCTTTGCGCAGGAAGGTGTTCCGGGAGGCGTTCTGAGCCAGGATGTTCATAGCCAGCTTGAACAGCTCCTCGGACCAGACCTGGGGGGCCAGTATACACGGGGAGGCGGTGAATGGGAGACAGAGGGGCTGCCCAGCCACAACCCAGGTCCACAACTATCTCTGGTACACAGTAGGTCACAGAGCAGCCTAGAACACAGCAGGTGTTCGGTAAGTGACGGCCAACTCACAGAATAAGACAGTGACTCCCCGCTTGTCCCCTTGGTGCCAGCCCACCTTGGCTGTGTCATCCTGCACGGCCATGAAGTTCAAGAACACTGTGTTCACTGGGTCCGGCCCAGACACCACCGTCATCAGCTTCTCCTCCAGCCGGGCATCGGGACCCCCAAAGCCCAGAACTTCCCGGATCTTGGGGTCCTGAGTAGGTGACAGCGAAGGGTGAGGAGGAGCTCCCAGGCCTCACAGCCTCGCTGTGGTCTTCACTCCCAGGTTCCATCACTCACCTTGGGCAGACGGGCGTACCGGCCTGTCCGTGTGTCCCTGATGGAACTGATGTCCAGTGTGTCCACCTCCTGGGGGGAACCAGATGCCGGGCTGGGTATGAGAGGCTGTAGGGTGACAGCCAGGAGCCTCCAAGCTCCCTACCCAGGCCAGGGAGTGGCCAGCCCCTGGCTATAGCCCCAGCCTCAGCTCCTGCCCTGAGCACTTCCTGTCTGGGCAGCAGTGGGAGAGGTCAGCCTGCAGCAGGGCCCCACCCCCACGGGCAGGGCAGGGGTCTGGAACAGGGGCCTTTGGCCTGAGCGAGCTGCACCAGCGCCCCCCCTCACCATGTTGGGGCCTGTCCAGTACAAGAAGAAGCCACTGGGGTCCACACGCAGGGTCACCAGGTTCCGACTGGAGGTCTCCTGGGGACGGCACAGGGCAGCAGGGGTCAGGGAGTGAGGGCTGTGGTGCAGGCCTGGCCCCTGGGACTCTCCCATCATGCACCCCAGAGTTCCTGCCCGTGAGCTAAGACAAAACCTCATCCAGTCCACAGGTCCTGTGTGGCTGCCTGTGGCCCTCAGAACAAAGCCAAGGTCCTAGGTGTGACATTCAGTGTCACACCTGGAAGGGCTCCCCAGCCCCCATCCTGGGCTCCATTTCCCCAGAAGTGCTGAGAGCTCTGTGACGGTGACAGCCCCCCTAATTCACCCCACTACAGAATGTTTAAGGCATGAAAGTGAGAAGTCTGACTCCCACTGCCCTTCTGCATCCCTTGGGATACCACGATGACCCCTTGGTCTGCCTCAGAGGCCACTATTCACCTTACCACATCTGCCGGGGTCCTCACAGCTTCAAAGCTCATCCCATCTTACAGAAGAACAGTCCCCCTAGAAGGGGACTTGCCCTACTCTCAGGACAGGGCAGTGAGCTCTTCCTCCCTCAAACAGCCCTGCAGCTGGCAGGGGGCAGGGAAGTGCATGCCAGCACCATTTTCTGAGAAGGGCCCGGTCCCTGGCAAACTCCCAGGGCCACCCCGTGTGACTCAGGACCAGCAGCCAGAGGGACTGTTCTCCAGGGCTTAGACTCAAGCCAGGGCCAGACTGACCAAGTGGCTACAGGTAGAACCCTCCTATTCCAGGCTCTTCCAGCCAGAAAAGGACCCCACCTCATGTTGGGCACCACCCCTAAACAGCTGCTCAGTGTCTGGTGGACAATACTGTCATTATCAATACATTTCATATACACACGTCGCCCCTACTGCACACCGGATACAGTTCTATGCACCTAGCATCTTCGAGCACACAAAGGCCCCCTAACCAGCCTAAGAGATGTGCTGTTGTCACTCCCATTTCACAGATGAGGACACTTAGTTACAGGCACACTTCGTAGCCTGCCCGAGGTCATTGGAACCAGGACTTGCTTGCAGGCAGTGTGGTTGCAGCGTCCTGTGACCTGGGAAGCAGGGAGCGGAGACTCCCAGCTCCTGGCCTCAGCCACACCCCATTGTGGGGCCTGGGATAAGTCTCTGCTTTCCAGACCTCAGTTTCCTTTTCTGGAGAATGGGGATTGCAGCAGCCCCACCCATGGCAGGCTTTGCTTACAAAGTATGGGTGTTCATCTGGGAACAGAAGGGACAGAAGGCCTCAAAACTTTGGGGATGCATAGGCCTCCCCACTTCAGTGTGCTGACACCCAGCCCCCAGCCCCTCTCGGGATTCCCAACCCTACCTTGAGTCTGAGGCCCCCCAGTGGTGTGCGGAAGGGGGAGGGGAGTCTATGGGTACTGCCCCTCGGGTTTCCCCCCAACCTCTCCCCAGAGGTCTGGCTTTCAAAGACAGCCCAGGCCCCCTGCTCTCCTGCCCCAAGCCTCTGTCCGCACCCCCCACCCCACCCCCAGGGCCCTCTCCCTGTTCCCACTTCCTTATTTGGGTTTATCACAGTGGAAGGAAAAGAAGAAACTTTTCCCTTCAGGCCAGCCTGGGGGGAGGGGTCTCCCCCGGCCTCTGGGGCACCCAGGCACCCCTCCTCACACACCTGCCGCTTCGGGCCACGCCCCCATCTCCTCCCCCCAGCTCCCACGCCTACCCCGGGGCCCCACCCAGCCGGAAAAGAGCCCAGAGTCTTCCAGGCCCGTGGCCTGACTGGGAAGGAGCCGCGAGGAAGCTCAGGCCGGCCGGGTGGAGGCCCTGGGGAAGGAGAGGCCCAGGGGGCAGAAGAGGGGACCCAGGATGGGGATGGGCAGCCAAAGGTGGGGACACGGGCATTTGGGAAGCACCAGGGGCAGGACAGGGAAAGGGGGGCCAGGATGTATTGGGGTTCAAGATCCCAAGCCTAAGGAGTGGGGAGCAAAGTTCCCAGGGGTGGAGGAACTTGGGGGGCAAAGTCTTCCCTAGGGGGTGACTGGGTGCTCCCACCTGAGCAGGGAGCTGAGCTGGGATCTAGAAGCAGGGCGAAGGGGTGCCAACCAGAATAGGGGGAAAAATGATGAATGGACGAGGACTGTTCAGGCAGGGCACCGGGGAGAGTAGGGACGCCCTGGCACACACCCAGAATGAGGATGCCCCAAGCCAGCCTGGAGGTCAAGGTCCTGCAGCCGGGGAGTCTAGTGCTGGGCAGGGGTCTGGGGACCAGGCCAGGATCGGGGAACCAGAATTAGTCTGGCAGGGAGTGGTGGGAAGGGCGAATGAAAACGGGGGAACGGGGTTTATTGGGGTTCAAAGTCTCTGCGCCAAGGAGTGGAGCCCAGTTTTCCAGAGCTGAGAGACTGGGAGTTGGGGGGACAAAGTCTTCATTACGGAGACGATCGGGGACTTAAGTTTCCGGGGCGCCGCCAGGCTGGGATGAGGGTGGCGCCACGGGCAGGCGAGGCTGGGGTAGGGGTCCCCAGCGACTGGTCGAGCTTGACAGAAAGAGTCCCGGGATCGGGGCGGAGCAGGGGCCCGCACGCTTACCTCGTCCCATTTGATGAACTTACTCCCGCGCCGCAGGGTCTCCACCACGGTGGGCGGCTCCAGCTGCAGCGCGTGGACGCCGGGCTGG